TGCAACCTCGTGGCCTATTTGCACACGCACCGAAGCGAAGGCTGCTCGGCCGCCGCAATGGACCGTGCTGTGGAGCACGGTCATCTCGAGGTCGTGCGCTATCTCCACGAGGTGGCCGGTATGACGTGCTCGGAGAGTGCCGTGCGCAGCGCCATTCAGCGTGGTCATACGTCGCTGCTGCGGCACCTCGACGCCAGTGGAGTCGACGTAGTCTCGGCACTGAAAAAGTGCTCCGCGGTTCGTCGCGCTCATCGAGTTCTTGGAGCATGCCAAGGCGCGGTCGCCGCCATCAAAGAAACAGCGCACGTCAACCTAGGGCACTGTACCTTGACACGGAAGCTAAAGTTTGTCGCTCAACCAATGCGAGAAGAGTAATCGTAGTATAGCTCTCTACGGATTCGAAACAACGCACATAAGAGTCTGATCTGAATAGCTGCTGACTGGCACGGTCGTCTAGCGATCTGTGGCTTTTCGTGCCATCGCCTCATTGCATGAACCTCTCACATGTCGGGCGACTGCACGTTACTAGCTGTGCTGTAGCACCTTGCAACTAGCTGCAGCACCTATTATATTTTCGATATAAGCTTTGTGAGCTTCTGCTGCGACCTCTGATATTTCGAGCTTGTAAGCTACCAGTACACGACAACGATGTCAGTATCGGCTCGCGGACCACAGATCCACAACAAGGCCTCGGAGGCAGTCAGGCGAATACAGCCAAGGTGTACTCGTCGCGTCATGGACCAGCGTAACATGATGATGATTCAGCGATGTGCTCCAGGTAGTATGGACAACATCCACGATCCTTGCATGTGACGTCCACCTCTCTCGACACTTGCACGGATTCAAGTTGGCACGGTGGACGAGGTTTTTGTAATCCATACAAGCACCAAGATGTGCGTATCTTTGCACTTGGCGTTTAACGCGCGTTCAACCTTTAAACGCTTAAAACGCCACTTTGCCGTTGGCGTGTATCACATGTCGCAGAAATGGCGCCCATTGGCAATGGCGCGAGCGTCGAGCAGCCGCAAGGGGCGAACGCACACGTGGTCATTTCCCAAGTAGCACCATGTTGCGCAGCCTCCTGCTTGCTCTGTTTGTCTCGACGGTGACGGCCGTCGCGCCGTGCGCTGGCGAAGACGTAGGCATGGCTCTCATGGGCCCGCTCACGAGCCTCGACGCCGAGGGCTGCGCCAAGGACACGGGCAACATGAACCTCATCGGCGGCGTCTGGACGCACGCGCAAGCCACAAAAATCCTGGGCAGCGACCACTGCGCCAAGATGTGGGCCGAGATGGTCGCCAACCTCAAGATGATCCCCGAGTGCACGTATGCGGCGGGCATGACCAATGTAAAGTACGCGGCCCAGTCGTTCGCAGAGTTCGCCAACGACATTGTAAAGAGTACCGGTGCCCTCCCGGCGACGACCGCACCGGCCCCCGCATCGTCGTCCAAGGTATCGATGCCGACGACGTCTGCACCAACCACGGCCCCATCGGCGATCGCGACGCCTGCCAACAGCACGGCGACCCCGACGACGACGGCGACGACAAGCGGCAACCCGACCACGACGGTGCCGGTTGCAGATGCCACGTCCAAGCCAACAACCGCGCCGACGACCGCGCCGGCGACCGCGCCGACGACCGCACCGTCGGCAGCTACCTCGGCGATCCTCACGACCACCGTCCTTGCCGTTGCCGTGACCATGTTCCTGTAGACGTATGGTACTACTAGCTTGCGTAGGCTGCGCCAACTTTATTAAATGGAAACACGCAAGTGTATATGTCGCTGTTCGATGCAACTTTGCCGTGACGACTGTATTGCAAAGCTTACTTGCAATCTGTGCTTTCCTCCCACCAGTGCCAAGCAAGACCCAAGGGACACCGGAGGCAAGAATTGGGACCACCACTTTGTAGCTTTTTGAGGGAGATAGAATACAGAACTACAAGGGTCTATGCACAGTTCTATTTTGACCCTTGGTGGCTGCAAGCTGTAGCTGCACGAGAGTTTCAATGGTTCGATCGCGGCAATAGAAAGGCCAGATAGGAAGATAGATCCGGCCATGCAATGCTCGTGCGGGGGTGTATTCCAGTGTGGGACGCGCTTCAATCCATATTCCAGTGCCGCGCCATGGGGTTCGATACCGGAGCAAGCATGCGAACCATACTACTGTAGATAGTTATTGGGAAATCGTGTTTCGGGTATCCTTGGCCCTAGGACACCACGCACTACACCTTGGACACGTTGAGAAAGACACCAGGACGACGAACCAGCGCCATTCCGTGCAGTCAGCACAGAGATTCTGCTCCATAACTCTACAACCACTTGTAGCATCAAACTATCGCATCATCATTCTCCGTAGGTTGTCGCCACCGCCATGAGTCTTTAATCATCGGTCTCGCTCCCACTGTGCATTGCTGTGAGTAGCGCTTCCTGCCGCTTCAATCCTGGGTTGCATCCGAGAGAGGTTCAAGAAGCGCTCTCTCATCGTGGATTGGTGGATTATAAGCGAATCATCACGCGCTATGTTTCGAAACGTGTCTGGATTGGTTGCTTTTCCGCCACTCGTTGTCGATTGCGTGGGTTGAGCCATATTGCGGCCTGGCTGCAAGATCGATCGCGGACCCAACGGCAAAGTGCTTTTCCCGACTCCACAGAGACTAATACTTACTGGTAGATATTACGGGTGGGTCCATCGTCGTTCGATAAGCCGTACGCCGCAGGCCACATTGACGCAGGTTTATGCCACGTGCGTAATGCTTGTGGCGCCTCAGGTCATTTGTAAATTCTCTACCTTTTGCCCACAAGACTCATGGCTGCGTTTGTTATGATGGCTCTGATGGCGGCGACCACTGCCGCGCTGGAACCGTGCGCGGGCCAAGACGTTGGCATGGCCATTATGGACGCGATGACGAGCTTGGAAGCCAACGCGTGCGGCCGCGACACCGGCAACGACAACCTCCTCATGAACGTCTGGACGCACGAGCAAGCGCTGCAGATTGAAGCGAGCGCCAACTGCGCGCAGTTCTGGACGCTGCTTTCCAACGGCGTCAAGAACATCGACGACTGCATTTACGACGCGACGACCGGCATGAGCAGCTCGCAGTACGCGGCCATGACGTTTCAGCAGTTTGCCGCCGACCTCGTCGCAAGCACGACTCCGTCGACACCGAGCCCGACGCCCAACGCCACGGTCAATGCGACCCACGCCGCCGTGCCCCACATCTTTTACTAGACTATGCGTATCTTAATCGATCTCAACTCGACGTCCAGTGGACAACCCGACTACGGCGTTCTGGCGTTGAGACACTGACGTGGTAACGAGGTCCGTCCGTGATGGACCTCAACGCGACGTTGCCACGAATTGCTCCCATAGCATATCGTCTCGTGGCCATCGTTGAAGAAATGGCAGTGGCAGGTCACTCCATAAATATGTGGAGAGACGCCGTGATCCTTTTAGAGGTCATCAATGTAGCAGTGAGGAGCATCGCGAGCCCGGAGACACAATAGCTCAACCAAGATCTCAGCAGCAGCTTTTGCACTACGCCCACCAAGCGGATGCGAATCGACACAAGACGACGCCTCGTGCACCACACAATCCCGAGGCGCCAAAGAACGTCGTCCATAGCTATGTGCGTTGCCGGATCGAGGCCGCGCCAGGTCGCTACCTCGAAACATCCAGGCGCGCACGTCGACGGTTGATGGTATTGACGTGTTGGTATTCTTATCTAGCAAAGCACTTGAAGCGACCAAATGCGTAGGCCAGCGCATCGTCGCGCTGCGTCTGGTACGCCTTGGCTTTCGGCACGGACGCTTGTGATGGCACTTGGTGCTCGTAGAAAATTGGCGCCAAGACGTGCTTGGAGGCCAGCTGGTGCACTAGACGGTGCGAAAAGAAGTGGGTTTTGCTGGCTCGAGAACGGGCTCAAGACAATTGAGTCTCGAGAACGGGCTCAAGACGAGCTCGTTTCCGTCCCTGCCATAGGCCAAATCAAGTTGCTCGTGGATGCGAGATCGTCGTCACGCATGTCGACGTAGAATGTCATCCAAAAATGCTATCATAAGTTGGAAAATATCAACTTTTGGAAGAGACTTGGGCTAAATAATGTGTACTAGCTGGTACCTCCAAGACCTGGATACCGCATCTCAATTTATGCAGCAGCTCGCAGCGACTCGAACGAAGCGCCGTTGGATCTTTCGGCAGAAAGCCGGTCGCGACCCATCGCCGCGCATACAAATTCCAAGAGACCTGGACAGACGGCTTGGTCGGGTGTTAACGCCATGCGCCGCTTTCAAGAGTCGAGCGCGTTATGTGTAGCATCGAACAATATTAATATTGCAAACCATACAAAAAGCCATACATTGGTTGATATTGAACTCAATATTATAACGCCGTATGCTCTCTATTATATCTCAAACAGTTATGCTTCCCCTGTATCCGGATTGGCGAGCTGTATCCGGCGGCCGTATTTCCATCGCATAACGGTAGCAGAGCGGATTCGAGCCGGTTGCGACAGCATCGACGATGGCCCCACCGCGCCGCCCCGTCCGTATGACGTCGTCCATGGCCGACGCTGCGGCGACGCCCCATACGCACGACTTTGCGACCATGGTCGACGACGTCCCGCGCCCTCGCGGCGGCGCGCAGCCCAAGATCCCGCCGCAAAAGTCGCGGCTGGGCTGCCTCCGCTTCATCGACTCGCGGCCATGGCACTACTTCTTCATGGCGCTGCTCGCGCTCGACTTCTTTGGCAGTGTGATTGCAGTCTCGTTCACGTCGACGCGCAACTTTGTCAACTACGCGTCCCAGACGCGGCTCGGGTCGTCGGGCTGCATGGCCGTGTACGTCGCCGACATGCTGTTGCGTCTCCTCGCGCTGCGCTCGGCGCTC